AGCATCTATGGTAGATAGCCTCATGGAGGTCAGCTACAAATGGGAGAATAAATTTTTAAAAGAGAATGATAGCTAATTGGGATGAACAGATCAAGTGGAATTTTTTGAGGATTGGGGAGTTATGGGAATGTTTGTAGACATTAGGGATTTTTTTATTCTGGATTTTCTGGGAAAATACCGATTTTAGAAAAATGAAATGTATTTAGGATCATAAAATCATGGACTTAGATTTAAAAAGTCTTTGGAGTCCATCTAGTCAACCCCCTTGCTTTACAGACGAGGAAACTAAGGCTGAAAGAGATTGAAAAAATTGTCCAAAGTTTTCAAATAAGAGGAATAGACCTTGTCAAACTATCCTGAGTTTTAGTTCAAACTATATGGTGACCATAACTGACTATGGTTATTCTCATTCTTACCCTAGTAAAAGGAATGAAATCAACCCAGAGCAACCCCTAAGCAGAAGGATTTCCTAGTTTTCCCTTGCTAACCTCAAGAGTCCAATGGTTTAAATGTGCAATAATGAGATGGCTTTCCACCTTTATTTTTTCTTCAGAGTATGTCCTGGCACAACACAGTTCAATACATAGTTAGCTGTTTGCAACACAAGACATATTTTACCAGCATGAGGAAATAATTAGTATTAACACAATGCAATGGGAATATAGAGAAGGCACCAAGTATGGTAGGTAGATACTCCTCTTCACCTCAGGAAGATGACCTCCAAAGACCTTCTAGATCTAAATCTATGATTTTATGATCCTAAACATATTTTGTTTTTTCTAAAATTGGTCCTGTTCCAGCTCTAGTACTACGATCCCATTACACAAGAGGCAGTGACTCAAGCAAAGTGCTATGAGAAATTTGAGGAAGGAGAGATTATTTTCACCTAGGCAGGGAGGATCAAGGAAGGTTTCCCAAAGGAGGGGGCATCTGAACTGGCTCTTGAAGGAAAGGAAGGACTTCAGCTGAAGTACGTTACGGAGATGGCTTGAGTCACTGCCTCATGAGTAATAGAATCACTAATAGGATCATAGTACTGGAGCTGGAAAAGGACCTCACAGATTATCAAGCCCAACTACTTAATAATAATGATAATTAATAATAACATTGTCATTTCAGTCATGTCTGACTCTTCGTGACCCCATTTGGGGTTTTCTTGGAAAGATATTGGTTTGTCATTTCCTTCTCTAGCTCATTTTACAGATGAGGAAACTGAGGCAAACAGAGTTAAGTGACTTGCCTGAGGTAACCCGACTAATAAGTGTCTCAGGCTGGATTTGAACTCAGAAAGATGACTCCAGGCCTGACACTCTATCCACTGTACCATCTAGCTTCCCAATAATAATAACAGTAGTAATAATAATAATAGCATTTATATAGTGCTTTGAGGTTTGCCAAGTACTTTACGAACAGTATTTCATTTGATCCTCATAACAACCCTTAGAAACTGATGCTGTTATCCTCATTTTAAAAATAAGGAAACTAAGGGAGGAAGAGGCTACATGACTTGCCCAGGTTACACAGTTAATAAATGTCTATGGCTGGATTTTAACTTGGGTGTTTCTGAGTCTGCATTCACTGTATTCACCTATGGATGAGGAGACTGATGCACAGAAAAGTCAAGTGGCTTGTCCAAAGTCACACAGTAATTCTCAAAGCAGGAATTTGAACCCAGGCCATCTGCTTCTAGGATCACTGATCCCTCCACTATACCCCATTACCTTTGAATCAAATTTTTGTACTTGTTTTTCCCTCCAGATTGTCAACCCCTTGAGCCATAGGATCTGTGTCATTTTTTTTTCTATCCCTCACTCTAAGGATGTAGTCTTGTACAAAACTGATGCTTCAGGAATATTGCTGAATTTAACTAAATATCTAAAACCTGCACTTATATTTTATAACTTTCTCTATAAATAAGTTCTAATTAAGCTATAGTAAATGTGGATAGTAAATATTTCTCCATAGAATACAGACCATATTCCTTACTATATTTTATTCTTACGTCACACCCTTCGTCATCATCATCAAAAATAACAACCATCACTATTCATTAAGCATTTTTATGCTTCCAGCAAAGTCCTAGGCACTGAGGATGCAAAGACCTATAAGATACATGTCCTCTACGCAATTCTGTTAAACATTTATCTGTTTCTATGCCACATAGAGACAGCCTGGCATATGGCTAGTGGGCTGGATTTGGAATCAGGAAGACACAGCTCTGGATTTGGATTCAGAGGGCCTGGGTTCCAAGACCAACTCTGCCACTTACTACCTGTGTGACCCTGGGTAAGTCACTTAACCCTTGGGACCTCGTTACCTCATCTGAAGCCTGGGAGGGTTGGGCTAGATGAGGCCATATGGTTTTATGGATTACTAAGACCAAAAACTTCAGCACCAAGTGGTCAAGCTACTGGTGAGGAACCTCTCTGTGCTTAATTAGGCTGATCCTTAGAAAGAAGACTGAGACTGTTACTGGAACCATATCTGAAGCCTCTCCACAGTAACAGAACCCACCATAGCTCATGATCCCCTGATAGAACCTTTTAGAATCCAGAGTCACCTCCATGCTAGGATGAGGTAACAGAGTAAGGCGGCTTGATAACAGAATAAAAATGGAATAACCTGCTAAATGTTAACATGAGTAATAGAATACAAAATGTACTTATAAAATCATGAAGTATTAAAGTAGAGAGGAAACAAGGAGAATCTCTAATTTAACTATCTCTTTTTATTGATGAAAAACTTAGATCCATAGAGGTTAAGTGAATTACCCAACATGGCAGAATACAGTCCCTAAATTCCCAGAGCAACTTCATATTGTACCAGAGTAATTTTTATTCTGACCTAGCATGATTTTTCTGCAAAATATCATGCTTCTTCATGCAACAATTCAATGATTATGAAAGAATTTCTTTTGTACAAAATATTTCTTCTGCCAAAATAAAAAGGTGCTTGGCCTTTATGTCACACCCCCCACGCATACATTCAATAAATTTCAATGGCTCCCTATTGCTTCCAAGAGCAAATACAAAATGTTCTGCTTGGCATTTAAAGCCCTTCATAATCTAGACCCCTTTTACCTTTCCAGTCTTCTTACACCTTACTCCCCCGACATGTGTTCTTTAATCCAGTGACATTAGCCTCCTGGCTGCTCTACGAACAAGACACTCCATCTCTGGGCTCTGGACATTCTTTCTGCTTGTCCTCCATGCTTGGAATGCTCTCCCTCTTCTGCTCCAACTACTGATCTCCCTACCTTCCTTTAAGTCCCAACTAAAATCCCACCTTTTATGGGAAGCCTTCTTCAACTCCTCTTAATTCCAGTGCTTTCCCTTTGTTAATTATTTCCCATTTATTCTGTATCTAGCTTGCTTTGTGCATATTTGCTTACATGTTGTCTCCCCATGGTCAGCTCCCTAAGTGAAGGAGCTTACAATCTTTTTGCCTCTCTTTGTATCTCAGTGCTAAGCACAGTGCCTGACATAAAGCAGGCATTTAATAAATGTTTATTGATTGAGTGATTGATTTTTACACAGATATAAATAATTCCTTTATGATTTATGAACAAACCAGTTAATCCTGTTCCTAATTTTTACAAGTAGGGGATTTCTCAAGATTCTGGCCTTGGATTGTTTTCTCCTCTGGCTTGATGATCTCATTTACTCCCACGACTTTAACCATCATCTCTGTGTAGATGATTCTTAATACTATATGTACTTCCAAGACCTCTCTTATGAGCTCTATTCTTGCATTTCCAACTTTCTATAGGACATCTCCACTTCAAACTCAGACCGACGCAAACCAAGGGCATTATTTCCCCCTAAACCTGCTCTTCTCCCAACTTCATTATTTCAGCTTTGGGTACCACATTACCCTTTCTTCCATGTTTGAAACTTTAGTGCTTGCTTTCATCCTTTTTTTTTTCCCTTCACATCTCACATTTAAATCGTCATCAATTCCTGTTGATTCCACATCTGTAATGTCTCTTTACATCACAAGGGGACAAATACAGTCAAGATACTTAAGTTTAATTTGTTGTTGATTACGTATCTCAAAAATGCCTACATAAACAATAAATTTGTTGGATTTTACATTGTTTTTGTTACAAAACCAACCCCCCCTCCAGCAAATCAATTTCATAGTTAGTGCTCACCGTAGCAGTAGACAATTTATGCTGACATTTGATACCTGCTGGCTACTATTCCCAATTATGCCAGATTGCTGGAGAGCAGAGTTGTTGAAATAACAGTGATAATGGTGCAGACTAGTTAAGATTCTAGCAGTGTGTTGGGTTTAATTCAGTGAATCATGAAATTCCCATCATAAGCAGAATAGTGACATCTATTCTTTTTAGGGGTTAGCTTCTTTCTAGTACTGAAGTCACACACTAATTCAATGTAAAGTTGGATCTTTGGATATGTGACTGGATTTGCCTAGGGGCTAAAAACAAAATCAAAAGATTGTAGAGAATGGGTATGAAAAGCAAACATGATAAAAACTTACAATAACACAGCCATGGTAGAGGATGCTACAAGAGTGCCCTTGAGGCAGATCATGTATTATGTTTGTCCAGTGTCTTACAAAGCAAAAGGAAGCAGTGAGATCACCTCCTCAGGTCCTCTTCTCTTCCAGAACTGACTCACGACCGCTGGGCGGGGCTGAATTAGCAGAACAACAAGGCCAGAAGTTGTGTACATAATACAGATTCTTCTAGGACAAGGGGGCAAGTTGTCATCAACACTAGCCAAAGGAGGGACAGAAGCAGGCTGAGAGAGGAAAAATGAGAAAAAGGGAATGCAGCCAAGGAAATGATACCACTTAATTTCCTGAAAGTCTTGTAAGAGAACTGGAATTGTAAAATTAGGACAAAAAAAACTATTAACAGATCTTTTTAAATATGTGAAGCTTAAAAATATACGTAATTACTCTCCCTTGTGCATTTCAAAACAGAGTGTATTTTAGATGTCACACCACAATCCAAACTCTGAGTTTCTAAAAATAGTGGGGGGGGGGGAATCACTTCTTTATTATGGCTCAGGCGTGCTCATCACCAATTTCATTCTGCAGGCGATAAAATTTCCTTGAAGTCTTTGATGGCATCATCTGCAGGAATGAATAAACAGAGCAAAAAGATTTCACAGAACACAAAAACCCAAGAGGAAAAGACCTACATCTGGGAAATCATCAGAATAGTCTAAAAAAAGAATAGTGCCACCATTTAGTCATCTTGGGCTACATACCACTCATATTTCTATTCTCCTTACATCACTGAGAGCTCTGGATAAATAAAATGGCTTAAGTAGCACTGGTAACAGAACTGAGCTGCATCAATGTTCTAGCCTCAGTTTTACAGCAGGATAGAGTTTTTTAAATGCTGTATAGTGGTACCCCTGGGGTTTCATAGAATGCAACTAAGGTCTTGTCAGGTCTTTTTGACTCTTCCAAACCCTCTTTTTCCTCCTAAACCTTCTTATGACACTCCTTGCTTCCCTTCTTGGCTGAGAACTGCCCCTCCCTTTACTAAAATAATTAAGACCATTTCATATGAGCTTCCTTTTCTCACCTCTTCACTTCAAAACTCGTTCACATCATCCCCCATCCTCTCATCTTTTCCTTCTGTCTCTGACAATGAGTTATTTTACTTCTTGCCATGACCAATCCCTATACCTATGCCTTTGATACCCCACCATGTCTTTTCCAACAGATTACAGCCTTAAAATCTTTTCTTGCTAATCATCAACTTCCCCCTATCTCTGCGTTCCTTCTCTATTGCCTTCAAACATGCCCAAGTCCCTTACATCCTAGGAAAATAAAAATAAAAAAAAAACTTTATTAGACGCTCCAGTCACCTAATGTTATCATACTATAGCTCTCCTCCCTTTCTTAACCAAACTAATAGAAAAAGCTATCTATACTTTACCTCCATTTTCTCGTTTCCTCTCATCTCACTCTTTTTAATCTGGTTTCCAGCTATATGGCTTGACTGAAACTACTTCTCCAAGGTTACCAATGATGATCTCTTAATTGCCAAAACAATGGCCTTTTTCCACCCTCTTTCTAGACTTCTCTCCTGTATCTGACCCTATTGATCATCTTCTCTTTCAGGATATTTCCTCACTGGGATTTCATCACTATTCTCCCCCAGGTGTCTTCCAAATAGTTATTTTTATTGTATTTCACAGTTTTAAAAGCTTTAGAAATATTACGTTATTTGATTCTCATTTAAAAAAAAAAGCCTGGGAGATATGTGCTACTATTTTCATCATCTAGGTAAGAAAACTGAGGCTGACAAGAGTTAACTCATTGGTCCAGGGTCACCCAGCTAGTAAGTACCTGAGATAGGATATGAATGCAGGTCTTCTGACTGCAGGTCTAATACTCTAATGCTTTTTTTTTTATTCATGCAAATACCACTTTACATCAGGCCTTCTACAAAGGTCATTGCAATTAGCTCCCAGTCCCTACTCAAACTGCTCCCAACTTTCAGTCTATCCCCTGCTGCTGAAGTGATTTTTCTCAAGTCCAGATCTCATGGTACCCTCCTACTCAACCAGTGACTTCCTATTGCCTCTCCAATAAAATATAAACTCATCATTAAAGCTCTTCAAAATCTGGCCTCAACCCATCTTTCGTTCCTAATTATGCCTTAATCTCCTGCCTGTACTCTAGATGCTTGCTAACCTGTCCTGCCTTGAGTTCTTCACACTTCATCTCCCATCTCTTTGCTTTTGAATAGGCTGTGCCCCATATCCAGACTGTACCTCCATCTCATAAAATCCTACTCCTACTTCAAAATAGCTTCAGTGCTACCTTCAATGTGAAGTGTTTCCTGATCTCAACAGCTAAGGTCCTCTCTCTCAACCTGCCTTATATTTAGCCGCTTTGCATTTATTTGTGGTTTTTATATATTATTTGGCATGTACTTATATCAACATTCATTGTATTTGCATCCCCATGCCTTACACAGTACTTGGAACATAGTAGGCCCTTAATAAATATTGGTTGATTAATTGGCAAGTCAAATGAATCTTTAGGTATTTTTTATGACTCAATCTTTTCACATATTTAAATTCATCTAAAAATGATATTTCTGAATGCAATTCATTTCTCTTCTCTCTCCAAATTACAGTTTCATCTTCATCTTGTCACTGTGCATTTGTTTTCAAGTGCAATTAAGGACTATAGCGGAGAATAAGCAGCACAGGTGTTGCCACTCACAGCGGAAAAAAAAAATGTTACAAGCATACCTTGCCTTGCATAATGTTGTCTCAAACCAATGTCATTTTACAAAAGCGCCATTAGGGCGTTATAACCAAACCCCAACGTAAGGCTGTGAATGCCACTTATAGCATTGCCTCATAGGTTCCCTCTGACGCAAATGAGGTGGTCACCAGTTAGCTAAGAAAAGCTACCACTTCATCTCCAATAAATAGTGTGGATGACCTAGAATGTCAGCTTGCCTGTTACTCACCACATATGAATAAGCCTTATTTAAATGAAATTAGTAATGTGGCTTTGCTAAACAATATGTTTTTGCAAATGAGATTAATAAGGGTGAGATACAACCAATTTGGCCAATCAACTACTTATCTTTTAACTACTCAGAGACAGGAGAACTAAAGGAAGGCCCTACCTATCACATTGGATGGAAACTCTATGAAGGATTCACAGGAGAATACATGGGGTGACAACATGTGAATGGGTGACAATCTGCATTACTGGAGAGAGCACCAGTCTTAGTAAGTTCACAGATCCACTGAAGAATTGAAGGACTCAGCATTAAGCAAGAATATCTCTGCGTATTTCTTTCACTAAGACCCATAGGATGAAAAAACACAGGGAAAAAAATTATTATAACCCTTAATACTGTCAACACTCAACTCATTACTTACATTTACTTATTCATTACCATTATTATTGTTGCTATTATTTAGGCTTGCTTAAAATATTTGCATGTTATTTGCTGTTCATATGATTTCTATCATTAAATAATGATTTCCTTAATTTCTATAGCATTTAGTAAGGGACTACTGTATATGAGCTTCTATGAGGGATTCAAAGATGAGTAAGACATTTACATAGAACTTTAGAGTGAACAAAGCTCTTTATATGTATTAGCTCACTTGATCCTCACAAAATACCCTATAAGATAAACACTGTAAGTATTATTAGCCTCATTTTTGCATATAATAAAAGGAAAAATTGAGGCTCAGAGAATTGAGTGACTTGCTTGGGGTTATAGATGGAAAGTGTTACAGGGTGGAAGTAAACCCAAGTCTTCTCCTCTGAAGGTCCAGCACTCTGTCCATATTGCCTCTCCTTTGAGTGCACACATAGTAAGCACTTCATGAACACAGTTATTCAGTCATGTCTAAGTCTTTGTGACTCTGTGGACTACAAAAAGCCAACACTGTCTCTGGGTTTTGTTTTGGGTTTTTTTGGCAAAGATACCAAAGTGGTTTACCATTTCCTTCTCCAATTCATTTTACTCCAGTTGAGGAATCTGAGGCAAACAGGATGAAGTGACTTGCCCAGGGTCACACAGCTAGTAAGGGTCTGAGGCTGGATTTGAAGTCAAATCTTCTTGACTCCAAGCCCAGCTCTCTATACACCGAACCACCTAGCTACTTCCTAATGGCTACCATTACAACTTTGCTACTCAATAGATTTTACATAATTATTTTCTAATAGATCCTGTGATTTTAAAAAAGGCTGTGTCTCCCACAAGATACAAGCCTCATAAATGTTTTTAAAACTTTACCTATAGTTTCAGTGGTATAGGGAATTCCTGGTGAGAGAACTTCTCTGCTAAGGCAGTTTGCAACTGCTCTATGTGTCAGAGACTAGATTTGAATCCAGGTCTTCCTGTTTCCAAAACCAGCTCTCAATTTCTCTTTGTTAAACCTCAGCTCTTGCTTATCCTCAGAAATATGAGAAGAAATGAACTTGAAACAAATAGAATTTAACTGAATTGAACTGCCCATCTAAAGAACAAAACACATTCTAATATATGATAGTTAATAGTTTCACTTTGGGGACAACCAGGTGGTGCCATGGATGGAGAGTCAGCAAATCCAGCTTCAGACACTCACTAGCTATGTGACCCTGGGCAAGTCACTTAACCCCCATTTCCTCAAAAGAGAAAAGATTTTAAAAAATAGATTGATTTTGACACTGAAAATAAAAAGAAGAAATCTTTATCTCTCAAGGCTGCTCTTAAATTTGAAACAACATTGGAAACAAAACCACTCAAGGGTCATGGAAGCTGGTCATATGATCAATATTAAAGGCCACCCAAGTTCTGAGGTGGGAATATAACTAGTACTAATTAAAAAAAAAAAAAGAAAAGAAAAGCTACTGTGAAATAGATACCATCCTATCTGAACCATTTTCTAAAACTGAATGAAACTAAAATGCATATAGAATATTTACACAAAGATAATTGTTTTCATCATACTCACATTAGAATAAACAAAGAAGCAAACAGAATAAATCAGCACAGTTATATGCCACTTTAAAGTCAGTTTTGCCATCTAAGAGAAGAGTTTCCAAAAACTATGGGAAGTTAATGAGACATGTTATGGCCAGAAAGCTATTGGCTAGAAGGCTGTTCTAGTTGAGTTCAGTTAGAATTCTAGAACTGGTCTTGTTCCATCTCAATTGTTTCGCCTCCCTTTCCCACCTACTTTCAATTTTTGTAGAACTCTTACTATATTCTAGAGAAATTTCATGAAGTGATGAAAGCTCAAAGAATAAAATGACATCATTGTGATCAATTCTGCTACAGGCAAGTTAAATGCTGATTACCCACTTGCTATAAAGTGTTATTACAAATTTTGACTTTATGCCAACGAGCACTTTATGTACCCAAACCCTGCCAAAAGCAATCACTGGGGACAGTATGATAAATGTAGAAAGTAGAAAGGATCATAAAATCTTTGTCCCAATAAAGCTAGCTAAAGAGCCACAGTGGATGAAGAAATCTCATAGAATATTACAATCGCACATCCATGCTCATGTAACTTATAATCTAATAGAAGATAGTACCATAGTGAAGAATGAAGAGTCACCAGTGACAGGAAAGAAAAGAAAGGAAGGAGAAAGTAACTTCAAGACAGATTTCTTCAGAAAACCATGTTGAAGATATCATTAGAAAATGACTACCATTTGCATTAGGGTATTAGCAGAAATCAGTCAAGTGCGGATCAAATGCTCCTGGGAAAGCAGCATCGGATAACAAGAGGAGAAACCCCAAAACCTGCTATTAAAAAGTTTTGCTTAAGAGTTCCCAGCCCTAGAGACCTCCAATAAACAAACAGGAAGTTTGTGCGTTCAAAAACTTAACAGCCTAAGTCAACAAGAAATGGTTCAGAGAACTGAAGATCTGAGCTTCAGCGAGGATGGAGGGTGAAAGGAATTATCCTGTGACTCTCAAAGACCATGCATTGTTCTCATTTCTTCCAAAGTCAATTTATAATTGCATGTATGCTAAATGTAAATAGGTTTCCCTGCAAGAAAAGAGAGGGATAAGTCTGTAAGACCACGTTTCTACTTAATAAAGAAAATGAAATTTCCTGACAACATGGAAAAACATATTTCAAAAGGAAAAAAACAACAACAAAAAGATTTCTAAATATTTCAAAAGAAAAAAAATGGATGAAATGTGGGGAGAAGAGAAATGCATATCTAGGTTGAGAGGCTGAAGGGTAGAAGTTTGTTGCACAAATAAGGGTAAAACTACATAATATGGTAGGTTCGAGTTTCTTTTTTTCTGTAAGAATAGGGTCAAAATGACCCCATTTGGCTCTTCTGAAGAGGAATCAGTCAACAAGAATTTAGGTACTCATTACAAATCAGGCACTGTGATAAATGTTCAAGATACAAAGAAAGGCAAAAAACACACTTCCTGTCCTCAAGGTGCTCATATTCTAATAGAAGAGAGAACTTGCAGAGAAAAAAAATTGTACATGCAAGATATGGACAGTGTAAATGGACAGCAATCTGAGGAGGGAGGTGCTAGCAATCAGAAGAATGAAGGAGACTGTAAAAGGTCTCTCATAGATGATAGAGTTTAAGTTGATTCTTCAAGGAAGCCAGGAAATTAAGAGGCAAAGATGGAAAGGGGGAGCTTTTCAGGCATGAGGGACAGCCAAAAAATATAATAATAATGATGATAATTAATAAATAATAAGTACCTTTTATGTGCCAGTCACTGTGCTAAGTGCTTTAAAAATACTATCTCATTTCATCCTCACAACAACCCTGGGAGGGAGATGCTATTATCCCCATTTTGTAGTTGAAGAAACTGAGGCAGGCAGAGGTTAAGTGATTTGCTCAAGGTCACACAGCTAGTAAGTGTCTGAGGCTGCATTTGAACTCAAGTCTTCCAGACTCCAGGCCCTGAGATCTATTCACTTCACTACCTACCCGTTTCTGAAAAGGCCCCATAGATCCACAGGTGCTGTCAAATGAGAGGAAATGTGTTACTGTCCATAAAAAGAAGAGAAAAATCCTGGAGCCTGATTACCCCTGCTGAGGGGTACAGATGTGGCCATATGTTAACCTGACATAAATAATTGTGAGGTAATCTGTCTTCCCAGCATGTGGCAGACAACCTCCTGAGAGTTGTCAAAACTGAGGACCAGTATCTTCTTCTTTCATGTGGTGATAAATGATATCACCAGAAGGAAACTAGAAAAGATCAGGAGGACTGGACCAGGAACCAAAGATGTTAGAGGCACAGGTAGTATTTTCACCAACAGCATTGCTACTGATTGAAAAGAAAAAGGGATTTGGAAAATAAATAGCTAATTAAGAAGACAGTGTCAAAGAATAATATTGGACTTCCAGACACAGATTTAAGATACAGGAACGGCAGAGTATTGGCCAGGGTTGGAGAGCATTTACTACGGAGCATTAAAATTATATTTGCTTTGAAATATGTACATATGATTCAAGAGAGATTTAAGGTGAAAGCAAGTGGGGAGTTATGAAAGCAGGAAAACTGCACACATGTAAATTCTAAATCAGGAATGGGGAATCTGCAGCCTCAAGTGTGCCCCTTTGACTGGATCCAATTCCAAAACCAGAAACTGGATTCAGTCAAAGGGGACCTGAGGACCTAGAGGGCCACATGTGGTCTCAAAGTTGCAGGTTCCTCACCCCTGCAGGGGTGCGGCAGGTGCAGGGTGCAGAGAATAGCTGGTATATCATAGAGGAAAGAATAGCAGCAGAGATTCCCAGTAAGTTGCCAGAGATAGTATATGGGGAAAGAATTGATAATAATAACCAGACTCAAATTTTTATATGCAAATGCACTGAATATAGGTGATAAACAAAGTGAACTAGACAATGCCAACACAGGGCCTATTGCATCGTAGGTGCTTAATAAATGGTTTTTTTAAATTGATTGACATCTTGATGGTAGGAGATAAATATGGTCTCATAGCATTTGATACTTGGTGGAATGTAATTTATAGCTCAAATATAGCAATGAAAACATATTATTCAAATTATCCAAAAGGAGAAGCTGGGACAAAAGTATTAATAGTAATGTGTACCTTAAAGATAGATGATTTGTGGAAATCGATGCACAAGAATAAGGAAACTTTAGAGAGAGCATTTGAATGGGAATCAATAGAGAGAGAAACAGGAGCTATTGCTGTGGAAGCATATTACAGATTATTGAGGCAGGAGGATGACTCCAGAAATAGGTCACAAAGCTAGCATGCAGGCTGGCTATCAGAGTGACTGGGATTCCCACTCTCCCAGGAATAGATGGAACAAATGTTAAAATTTTTTTTCATGTGCAACTGGGAAATAAGATACACAGGCAATGGGGTAAAGAAATCTATCCTGCCCTACAGGAAAATAGAAAGAGAAGGGGATAATAGAAGGTGGGGGGAGGAGACAGAAGGGAGGGCAGATTAGGGGAAAGGATATTCAGAATGCACGCCATCTTGGGGGGTGGAGGGATGAGATGAGGAGAAAATTTGGAACTCAAAATCTTGTGGAAGTGAATGTTGAAAATTAAAAATAAATAAATACAGAAAAAAAGGAATCGATGGAAGCTCTTTCCATCAAAAAAAAAATAGAACTGCTACTAAGGTCCTTATTTGCTTTGAGCCTTCAGGTAGAAGAGGCAACAAAGGGAATTTGTTTTGGATTTGTTATTGGCCAACAAAGAAGAAGTGATTTCCACAGAAAAAGTACCTAGAACTTCAGGAATAAATAACTACTCCACCTTAAAATTCATCACACATGAAGAGGGCAATTCTGGGCATTGTCCAATATGCCTCCTCAATTTTGAAGGCATACATTCTGTAGAATTCAAAGAAAGAGTGACTAGGATATTATGACCTATGGAGGAAGTTGGATTAAGAAGTACAGAACGTTCTTAAGAATAAAATTCTGTCAACAGAAATACAGATGTTTCTGAAAGGGAAAAGGGGAGGAGCTACCCAAAGAGACTTATTCGTCTGTTTATTACTCAACTGAGCAGTTAGGTAGTTTGATGGCAAGAACACTGGATTTGGTGTCAAATTTAGTCTCAGACATAGAATAGCTATGTGAGCCAGGGTGAGTCACTTTGCTCTTGTCTGTCTCAGTTTCCTCATTTGTAGAATGGGGATTATAATAGCACCTACCTTGCAGGATTGCTGTGAGTATCAAATAAGGTAATATTTGTAAAACACTTTTAAAACCTTAAAGCACTATAGAAAGGCTAGCTAGTATTAATATCATTATAAGACATATATTATTACGCTATGTAATAATTATTAAGATAGCAAACAGCTAGGTGGCACAGTAGATAGAGTGCTGGGCCCAGAGTCAGAAAGACTCATCTTCTTGAGTTCAAATCCAGCCTCAGACACTTACCAGCTGCGTGACCCTGGGCGAGCCACTTAACTCTGTTTGCCTCAGTGTCTTCATATGTAAAACAAGCTGGAGAAGGCAGAAAACCACTGTAGTATCTTTGCTAAGAAAACCCCAAATGGGGCCATGAAGAGTTGAACATAACTGAAAATGACTAAATAACAACCATCAGAACAAGCTGCCCTCAGTGGGTTCAAATCTAGAGACCCCAATGAAGGCTACTTAAAATACCAACATACATTGAGCCTTTCAGTAATATGGGGAAAATCATGGAGAAGAAGAGAGTTTCCACAGGACTAGTAGTTGTATACACACACACATACATAAATACATGCATATATATGTATTTATGTATGTGTGTGTAGATATGTGTGTTTATGTGTATATATATATATGTATATATGTGTGTGTATATGTGTATATGTACGTATATGTATGTGTATATATATGTATATGTATGACTCAAAGGTCACTTAACCCAATGTTCTTATTTTTAGATAAAATAAATGAAGCTCAGGGAGGTTAAATGTCCATGGTCACACAAGTTAAAAGCATCAGAGAGATAGGATTTGAACACAGGTCCTCTTATTCTAGGGAGCTTTCCACTCTATCACAAATCCTCCTGGATTCCTCAAATTATTTGCTGGTGAATTTGACTTTGACACTTCAATGTATCAAAGATATCTCACTCCAAGAGTGAGAATTTTATCCCTTCTATG